GAGGACCCACAACCAACAGAGACACAACGCCACTACCCAGAGTCCAGAGCTTACTTTGGGGCTCTTAGTAAAGTGCTTTTCCGTTTGGTTTTGTTCTGGCAGTTCTGGGGACAGAAGCCAAGGCCCTGTGCACAGTAAGCAAGTATTTGGCCACCGAGCCTCACTCCCCAGCCTCACTCTTGGTGATGTACATTCTGTGGGTCCCTACAAATTTATAATTACCCATCTTTGTAGTGTTATGCAGCACAGAATCACTGCCCTGAAAATTCCTTGCACTTTACCTATCCTTTATCCCTGCTAGCTTATGGCAACTGCAGATCGTTTTATTGAACCTAGAGTTTTGACTGTTCTAGAAAGTCATATAGCTGGAATCATACAGAATGTAGCCTTTTCAGAATAGCTTCTATTTTTTTTCATTTTTATCGATACCAGGAATCGAACTCATGACCACACACTTGCAAGGAAGGCGCTTATGCCGCTGAGCTAAATCCCCAGCCCCCTCAGAATAGCTTCTTTCATCTGACAATGTACATTTAAATATCTTCCATGTTTTTTCATGGCTTCATAGCTCATTTCTTATATTTATTATTTTAAAATTTTTTTAAATTTTGAGACAGAGTCTTGTGAAAGCCTGGGCTCAAACTTGGGACCCTTTTCTCTTGGCCTTTTGGAGAGCTAGGTTTACAGGTGTGCATCACCACACTGGGCTTGCAACTCATTTCTCTTTAGCGCTGAATAAACTCTATTGTCTGGATGCACCAGTATATTTGTCTGTTCATCTACTGAAGGACATCTTGGTTACTTCCACATTTAGGAAATTATGGATAAAACTGCTATACACATTCATGTGCAGGGCTTTTGTGTGTGTGTGTGTGTGTGTGTGGACAGGAATTTTAAATGTGGGTAAATACTGAGGAGCATAATTTCTGGATCCCATAAAAAAAATATGTAGTTTAGTAAGAAACAAAGTGGCCACTTATAAAGAGCCTGCACTGGCCTCATCAGTCTGGAGAAGCCCACATTTGTAATCGCAAGGAAAAGTTATTGGAATCCTAGTAAGTAATTCCACTCTACCACTTCCAGTGCAACCCACAATGAGGATAAAGAGACACACACACACACACACATCTGTAATTGTGGGCAGTCAAGGGGGTCCTAAGGCCAGTCAGAACAATGGCCCACCAGAACAAAGGCCATGACCCAGGGCAGAACCCAGGTACGGGCTTGGGCCTAAGGGACTACGAATGGTGGGAAGTACATGAATACTGTGAGTTGTACTAGGTAGGAGGCTTGCCAGCATCTCTGCAACATGCAGAAAGAGCACCAGATTCTGGTAACAGGCAGCCTCTAAGTTTGGAGCAATTTGCATAATACACTTTGAGGAAGTATTTTGTGTTTTCGCACAGTGCTTTAGCTTTGCTGTCTGTCCTCTCTGCTCTGAGACATCATGGGTTCTTTCTTGAGCCTCAGTTTCAGCGACAGCGTGGCATCTCTTGGCTTGGCTCATGCTTAGTATTTGGGAGCTACAGGCGGGGCATCACTGACCTGTTGCAGTGTTTCAAAGGCTACATCAGCATCTCTGCTAGACCCACTGGCATCACTTAAAGCCAACTGAGGAGGTAAAGTATTATCCACGCCAGCACTGTACATATCAATACATGGAATTAGGGCCAGATTTAGCCAACATGGCAATAAATGGTCTTCCCCCAAGGGGAGCCATCCCAGTGGTCCTCCACAGCCTCTGCCTTGCGTTCCCACCAGCAACGAATGTGAACTGCTGTTGTTCAGAGTCCAGCATCTGCGGTTGTCAGTCTTTTGGATCTGGGCCACTAGGGAAGATATGCAGTGGTGTCCCTTTGCTGTTTTAACTTGCATCTCCTGAATAACTTCTGACGTGGAACATCTGTTCAGATGCTGAGTTGCCATTTGTGCATCTTCTTTGGTGAAATGCTTGTTCACAAATTTTGGTCATTTTAAAAATAGGGTTATTTTCTTTGAAGAGTTCTTTGCAGGGCTGGGAATTTAGCTCAGTGGCGTAAGTGCCTACTTGGCAAGTGCAAGGTTGTGAGTTCAATCTCTGATACAAAAACAAAAACAAAAAGAATTCTTTTCATATTTTCACTGTCTATTATATGTATATTACAAATATTCTCTCCCTGTCTGTGTTGTATCCTCTCATCTTCCTGACCTCTCTAATGTTTGCAGAGCTCACAGGTAGATCTGGACTATGGGGAGCTGAGAGCCCAGGAAGAGTTTCCCCCTCAGAGTGACACACCGGATCCCGCACAATGATCTGAGGGGTGGGCGCCCCTTCCCGGCCCTGCTGGTGTTCATTTTCCTCTCTCTCCTTCTCCTTTCTCCTCTGTCTAGTACTCATCACCCGCCAACTCCTGGCGGAGTCCAGGATCCACAGAGTACGCTCCTCATACCTTTCTCCTTACCACTGCCACAGAGTGTTTTGATAGAGACAAGCAATTGAGGACCCAAATCCGAGCCCATCATTGGGACTAGAGACTGCTCATGACCCCTGAGCAGAAGACAGAAGCATCACAGCTATCGACAAACCTGAAGGCAAGCTCGGGCAGCCTGCAGGTGACTCTGAGGCAGCTGCTTACTCCCTCCAAGTCTGGGTAACAAGCAGGAATGCACCTGCCTTACGGCACATTCCTAAAGACCAAAAGTGAGTGGAGGGTGTGGGATGCTGCCAGGGGCACACAGGAATGGGCAGGGGGTGGGTGTGTACTCTGGCTGTGATCTGGGCCCCCAACACTTCTCTCGGAGCTCTGTCAGCAGCTTAGCCTTCTGTGAGTGTCAACGGTGTCAGAGAGGAAGGCCAGACCACCTGAGCATAGAGACATCTTTGAAAGACCAATTCACTAAATTCATGGGATTAGATGGTATTTTGAGATGCTAACTTGCATGTCCCCATGCCAGGAGCAGCTGGGCCCAGAGGGTAAGAAATAAGCATGAGGTGCCAGGGATATAGCTCAGTTGCATAGCACCTGCCTAGTGCAAGGTCCTGAGTTGTTTGATGACAGAGAGAGAGAGAGAGAGAGAGAGAGAGAGAGAGATAGAGAGAAAGAGAGACAGAGACACAGAGAAAGAGAGAAAGAGAAACAGAGAGACAGAAACAGAAACAGAGAGACAGAAACAGAAACAGAGAGAGAAACAGAGAGAGAGAAAGAGAGGGAGGAAGAGAAAGAAACAAACAAGCATGAACAAAAAACCTGTCCAGCACTGTTCCTGACAGTCCAAGCAGGACGGAGAGTGGAAGCCCCTCAGGGGTTGTCAGGGCTACAAAGTCTTGTTAGCCAGTGAATGGGGGCTGCCTAACCCCCTGAGACAGAGGGGTCCATGGGCAGTCTGAGGGAGTGTTCTGTGCTCCCAGACAGGATCCAAGACCATGGAGAGCCAGTAGTCTCAAGGACAACACCCAGATGATGATGTCTCACTGGTGGACAGATGCCTCCAGGATCGAAGGGACACTTTTCCCAACACTCTGGTCCTTTACACATTCCAGGAGGAATGTGTAAAGCACATTCTTAAAGCATCCATGCTTTAAGAATAGTTGAGTTAGAGGAAAATTAAGAGTTACCCTTCTCCTGACACCTGAGCTGTGGATGGAGTCTTATGCCAGCCCTACTCACATTAATGCAAAGGTATAGACAGTAGTCCTTTTTTTTTTTTTTTTCTACCAGGAATCAAACTCAGGACCTTGTGCTTGCCAGGCAGGCATTATAATCAGGTAGCCGAGCTATATCCTCGGCCCAGTGGTCTTTTGTCCTAGTGGCGTCCTGCCTCTGCATGCTTACCCTCTCTGTCTGCCAACCTTCACTATGAGGTTCTCATAGTCTTCATCCTCCTTTGATCCTGGGGCTTCCACCAAGCTCCCTGGCCAAGGACATCTGCCCTCCACAGATGACTGTGGTTCACTATAATTATGAGGCACCTCCTTCATGACTTATTTCCTGGGGATCATTGTCACTGATTCCTGGGCAGATGTAACCCCCTTAGTGAATACTCAACTGAGACCCACAGAAATGAGCAGATCTGGGAGGCTGACCCGCAACTCCTCTTTGAACAAAATTGGCACCTGCTCTCTGAGAAGCAGTGAAGTTGAACCTCTGCCTGCCTTTCCAGGCAGGGAGCTAATTAGTGAACCAGCGAGGCAAAAGAAGTAGAGGCCCCCAGATAGCCAGAAAGTTTATCTTTTCAAAACCACATCCCTGGTTAAAATGTAATGATGGGGATAATTCTTCTGAAATGTCAAATGCAATTACATAAGACTTTAAAAACTGGTATCAAACTTCTCCCATTGATAATAAGAATTAAGCGATTCCAGTCTGGTGGGAGGAACTGGGTTGCTCTGAATGTCAGAACTTGCCCACTGTAATCCTTTCGTTCCTACTCCACAGTTAATTCCACTTTCCCTGACCTGGCACTCTCCTTGGTTAGTGCTTCCTCTTCCCATCTGCAAGGCATCCTTCTGGGGTTGCCAACCTCTCCGGGCTCTCACGAGCCCGCTCACACTGCGGCCTGGAGACCTGCCTACTCCTCTTTCCTGTGACGCTTCTAATTGTTCTCACTACAGTCAACTTTATAATCTGGTAGGCAAATGATTGTGTGCATGTCTTTTCTTCCTTCATAGACTGTGAGCTCCTTCCAGGACAAGAGCTTGCAGATTTATTTTGCTGCCCCCGAACACCTAGCATAGAGTTTTATACTCAGTACCTATTTAACTAATTGAATAGAAAAACTCAGCATCAACGTCCTACTTTCTGAGTCAGTACCACAGGAGTGGACACAACCATGGCCCCGACCAAGATGTGCAAACGTTGCCAGCCACAAGGGGAACAGGTCCCAGTGGTTTTTGATTTTTTTGGAGGCTGCTAAGGTTTGAATGTGTGTCGCCTCCAAAATTCACAGTGAAACAATCCTCACTGTGGTGGTGTGAAGAGGTGGGGGTCTCTGGAGAAGTGACTAAGTCATAAGGGTTCTACCTTTCCGCATGGATCACAGATTCAGAGCGTTCCACAGAATCGGCCTGGGTCCTTTGCTCTTCTACCACGTGAGGACATGGCAGCCCCTCCTTCCACGTGCAGACCCCTAGATGGCGCTGTCTATGAAGAACAGGTCTGCGTCAGACATTGAACCTGCCAGTACCTTGACCTCGGACTTCCTAGACTCCAGAACTGTAGGCAATAAGCTTCTCTTGTTTAAAATGACCCATTCTTAGGTATTTTGTCATAGGAGCACACATGGGGGTGTGGTGACTTCCAAATGGAAGTTTTTCTCTGTCTAATCGCTTAGTACAAAAATACCCACTCAAGGAAAATATAAAATTAAAAAGCTAGGTATTCTCTAGTTATGATTTTTATTCACATTCTTTCTAACTTCATTTCATTAAAAATACATATAATAGCTCCAATAATTTGATGCCTTTAAAAACCAATATTTAGTGGAAGAATTTTACTTAGAGGGCCAGTATGGAAAGAGATAGTTGGAATCACATTTCAAAAATCTATGAAATCATAGAGCTGGAATGAATTCCATTCAAGCCGGGACAGTGGATTGGTGGCACATGTATACTGGCAGCAGCCTGACCAAATGAGCATTCAGGTCTTCGCCCCAGCACACTGCTAACCAGGGCCATGGGCAAAGGGGCAGGGACATGATATTCACAGTGCCGGTGTCGGAGAGCAGCAGGGGCTGGGTTGTGTCTGAGATGTCAGAACCCTGCCTGTTATTCCCAAATCTTCATCTCCAGAATTCTGATGCTGCCTTAGCCCACAGCTCTTTGGTTTTGCACCGAATCGAAGGGTGTCCCTATAGCTTTTCACCAAATCCTCCTTCTGCTTCATACTTGAGCTGTATTCTTTTGCTTCAAACAGACACAACATTTCCCTAAAGCAGGACAGGGCAGTTGAGAGTTGTACTAGGGACCTGTCCCTCCACACATCCAACAACTTACATGGACATCAGTGTGGCCACTAGTCACTGGCTTCCCTCTAGGACTCGACACACATATGATCTACTTTCTGGATGGCTGAAACCCAAAAGCTGACTTCTGGACCTCCCAGGACCACATGGCATAGAAATAACAACAGAACAGACTATACACCTTGTGCTTTCATACGTTTCTAAGATCTAGCCAGGTGAGGTGGCCATGCTTATAATTCTAGCACTCTGTGAGGCTGAGGCAGGAGGATTGCAAGTTTGAGTACAGGTTGGGGAACCTAGCCACTTAGTGAGATTCTGTCTCAAATTTTTGTTTTAATTTTTCAAAGGGCTAGGGATATAGCTCAGTGCAAAGGCAGTGGGCTCAATGTCAAGTACTGTAAAAAAAAAAAAAGGAAGAAGAAATTCTATGATCTAATCTATTAGATTATTTTTCTCATGTTTTTTCCCCAGGCAGGGTCTTGTTATATAATTCAGGCTGGCCTTGAACTCACTATGAGCCCAGGCTGGTCTCAAATTTATGGTGATCCTCTTGCCTCAGTCTCTTGAGTGCTGAGATTACCAGTGTATACTGCCAACGCCAGGGTTCCGTATGTCCTCGAGCAAGTGAATTGGGTAGATTTCCAATCTGCCTCTTCTCATGGAATACTTCAGATATACAATACAACTTGGAGGACAATATAGCAATATACTGATTTACCAACCACCTGGCTTATGAAACAAAACACAATGACCAATGTCTCCTGGGCACCCTGTGTGCCACTTCCAGCCTCCACTGGCGTGAATATCGTTGGTGAGTTCTACCTGTGTCCGTACCTTTCAAGCACAGATATACATCTCTAAGTAACACATGGAATTATCTTTCCTACTTTAATATTGTAACGCAGAGGAAAGGTACTCTCTTGGATATTTTCCTGAGACCTGTGCACCCACCCAAAGCCCACTGTGCTGCACTGCACATGACCACCTGTTTCCCTGCTCGGTTTATAGTCATGGAATGGTCCTCAACATTTGGCTACTTTGTACAACAATGTTATGAGCAGGAGACTTTTGCCTGAGACTTTCTCCAGGGCACATCCCACACAGAAGTGTTGCGCAGATCACACATATGGTGCTGCGTGCTGCTTCTTCCTCTTTTGTTTCCCTGTCTCCTTGAAGTGCTGCAACCTCACAAGAAATTAGCAGGGCTGGGGAATGTGGCCCTGGATTCAAGCCCACTGCCACATTCATCCATCCATCCATCCATCCATCCATCCATCCATCCATAAAGAGGCAAGAACTAGCCAGATTGTACACCTAAGGTGCCTGTTAAGCAAATCCAATTCAGTGACAATGGTAAGAGGAATCTTAACAAATTACAAACTTAAACAATGGGAACCTGTCAACTAGTTTTTAACAAGGGACTTTTCATTTTAACCAACAGTTTGTGTTGCTTCTGTGAACACCTTATAGAAGATTTTCCTTGCACCTGCTCAGGGAGACCTAACCTGCTGTGGCCTAGTATTGCCCAGTTCACAACCATTCTGTTAAAATCCAGTAGCCCCTTCTTATACACAGGGATACATTCCAGGACACTCAGTGGATGCCTGAAAACACAGCTAGTACCAAACATTATATAAGCCTTGTTTTTTCTATACATACATATAATAAAGCTTCATATAATTTTTACTTGAACATAAACACTGTGATACTGTAATAGTTGAGCTGCTAACTGAGGCAGTTACTAAATGACTAGTGGGAGGGTAACATATACAGTGTGAATATGCTGGACAAAGGGGCAGTTCATGTCCCCAGGGGACCACGCATGTGGAGGCTTAGAGTTAGTTCACATGCTTTCATTTCTGGGTAGAGAGTGCACAGGTCAGCGGCAGAGCAAGCTGCCAGAATTGAGTTTTTCTCCTTTTTGGTGATACAGGAACAGATGGGATACTGGCTCTCCAGATGCAGGTTGAACAACTAGAAAAAAAGAATGCTTTTCAAGTAGGAAAAGTGACTGAGGAACCAGGAGACTTGCTTCTAAACCTCTGCTTTCCAGCGTATTTCTGTCTTCCTGTATTTGTTTTTTGGCATTTCAGCCTTTCCCTTTGCAACATTTGTCACCTTCTCATCCCAAAATGATTAGAATCAAGTAAAAGGCCTCAGGTGGCAACAGAATCAATGAGGACAACTGACAAATTTATAGACTATTAGATATTGTCACCTCCTCCCTCTTTTTTGAGATTAGATAACAATTTAATGGCGTGGTCTTGAAAGTAGAAACCCAGTAATGTAGCTTTCACTCTTGATCTGAAGAATTTACAAAATCAAATGACTTGTCAGAGATAATGGTCCTGGGAAAATTAGGAAGGCCGTCATGCATGAGAGGCATGATACTTGAGCACTTGTTACATATGTTGCAAAGAACACTGGGAAGCTTTGCAGCTGAATACTTGTTACACATATTGCAAAGGACTCTGGGAGGTTTTGCAAACTGACTATGCCATGCCTGGAGGAGAATATTATAGCAGCAAAGAGAAAAAAAACAGGATGCATTAAATAAACCTGCAAATAATCAGGATGTTTTCCAGGAAAAAAGATGTAGAGTCTGAAGTGAGTGTGTGTGTTCATGTGTGCGATTTCCTTCAATGTGCTGACAGTCTGCCACAGATCCTGAGACATTCACAGTGTCTTGCCCCTGAGTACAGGTGGTGGTGGCAGACTGGGCTTCAAGCACACAAGGATAAATTTCACTTTCTCCAGCAGTCAAAAAAGCCACAGATGAAAGGATCTGACCTCTGTGCCAGTCTCCCACAGTGAAGTTCCCAGAATGACCAGGTTCCTCCTCCTGCACCAGGCAGCTGGTGGTGGTGGTGGCGGTGCAGGGAGCCTTTAGGGCACTGCCACTCTTTGAACCAGTCACAACCAGCGGAGTATTGTCTTCTCACCTTCCTCTCTGGTGCCCCTGTACTCCTTTATCAAGGACCCTAGTAATTACATGGGGCCCCTGGACAATCCAGGGTTATCTTCTATCTCAAGATTCTTACTTTAGGGCTGGAAACATGCCTCAGTGGTACAGCACTAGTATACAAGGGCCCTGGTTTCAATCCTTGGCACCACAAAAACAAAAGTAATAAATCAAAGATTCCTACTTTGATGAACCTGCAAAGCCCCTTTTTCCACGGAAGGTAACCTATTCTCAGATTTAGGGTGTGATCTTGGGGCGAGGGAGGGGGGCATCATTTTGTTTACCACAGTGGTTGTCAGGAATAAAAGATACTGTACTATAATATAAGGCCTGTAGAGCTGGGCATATTTGGGATTAGATATCAGTTTATTGGTTGTTATTCTACACTGTAATCCCAGTACCTGTAATCCTAGCACTTAGGGAGGCTGAAGTAGGAGGATCACAAATTCTTTTTTTTTTTTTTTTTTGGTACTGGGGATTGAACTCACGACCACCTGCTTGCAAGGCAGGTGCTTATGCCATTGAGCTAAATCCCCAGCCCCGAGGATCACAAATTCTAGCCCAGCCTGGCGTAATTAGTGAGAGCCTATCTCAAAATGGAAAAAACACTAGTAAAAATAAGAGTGGAGATGTGAGAGAGCACCTTGTTAGACTTGAGAACTATGAGGAAATAAACAAAAAGTACAGCCTGGCCCATAAGAAGCACTTAGTAAATATGCTAACATTGTTCTTATCTGCCTGGAAAGTCTTTGCCCTGCACAGGCTCTGTGCTAACCCCTAATTTGGCCAGATCCTGAGACCTTCCTGTACCTTCTAAGTGGGGTTTGCTGCTTTGCTGTGACCTAAAGGGACTTGTTTTTAACTTTGTGCTGTGTTATAATCATGTGTCTTTGTCTTAGTCACTGTTTTGCTGCTATCCCAGAATACCTGAGCTGGGTAATTTATAAAACACAAAAGTTATTCCTCATAGTCCTGGATGTGGGGAAAGCCAAGATCAAGGTGCTACCTGTCTCACAAGGGTCTCCTTGCTGTGTCAGCCCATAGTGGAAGGTGGAAATGGTGGACACGGTCACTGTGTGTTCTCCCAGCATGGAAGAGCAGAAGAGTGAACCCCTCCCACCACCCTTTTATGACTGGCATTAATGTCTGGGATTCAGGTGTTCCCCCCCCCAAGGCTTCACACAGTCATTGGTGGGGCTTTTTCTGATGTGGTTGGAT